CTATTTGTCTTATATGTGATAACTACTGGTTATAGGACTATCGGGTACTCAAGAATTGGGTTTATTAGGAACGATTTGTTTAAGGAACAACTTCTACTATGAGGATTTCGAAGTTAAGAGTTGTAAAACTCCGTAGAGTTCTTCTTTATTAAGGTGAGCGAAGAGCTCTTTATATATTTAAAATTTACAGGCTAAGAAAAGATAAAATAAAATCCTTTTTATCTATTCTATCTAATTAATCTTTTTTTATCGTTTTTATCCGATTTATCTTTTTTGTCTTTTTCATCCACGGCCCACCTTCTACTAACTCTTAAATGGCAATTTTTGCCGAAAATAGAAATAATGAAATAATAATAAAAAAAAATAAAAATAGAAATAGCACAGCCCAATTTCGGACAGTGCTGCGCCGAGTTGCCCATCACAACGTGAAGATTTCTTAATTTATAATAAATAAACAGTCAGAATTACGTTCTTGTAAAGTTATTGAGAATACTGAATCAATTTTGTCAGCATTTAAAAATTCTAGCTTTATCCTACGTTGTTTATAATCTAACTCATTTTCTTCTTTCTTAAGAATTCCTTTCCATTCCTGAAGCTCGTTATAAAGTTCTTCGGCAGTTGGCCGTTTTGATGGTTCTTTGTGCATGCACCTTTCTGCAAGCTGTTTATAACAATTAGGTAATTCTAATCGTAATTCAGATGACTTTCTAGTTGACATCTCCGAAATTACCAAACCATAAATATCTGATGTTTCTGCGCAATTCTGCACACCTCCTGAAGAGAATCTTGGTTGTAATTCAGATGACTTTCCAATTGACATCTCTAACATTATTACCCCTAAACTATAAATATCTGATGCTTTTGTATAATTCTGCGCACTTCCAAATAATATTTCAGGTGCAATGTAATCTTCTATACCGAATATTTTATTATCTGTTGCATCACCTATTTTTCTAGAAAAACCTAAATCTATGATCTTTGGTTCTATATTCGACTTGTTTTTAGCATCTTGTGAAACTTGTGAAACCACTACTATTCTATTGCCTAGGGGATATATACTAATTTTAAGATCTTTAAAATCCCAGACACTTGTCATTATTATATTACCACTATGAAGATCCCTATGACATATTTCTTGCTTATGAATATGATTTAAATTATCTGATATTGAGCAAAGAATTTCTATTCTTTCTTCCCATTTAAGAAAATTTTTGGATATGTATTCCCTAAGAACTCCTTTGTCTGCATACTCCAAAACCATCATATATTTCTTGTTAATTGGATCGAAAGTAATTCCATATGTCTCTATTGCATATTTTTCCACACTATATTTTTTAAGCTGACATTCATAGGAAGCTTTAAACTTTATATAAAATAAATGAAACTATTAACATTACTTATTTCATTATAAAATAATTATAATAATTTTTATCCTTACCTCTTCCAGAAAATCGCCTTCTTTTAGTCCTTTTAAAGCAACTTTGCATTCCTCTTCACGAGTTAGCTTTATTTTTTTATTTTCACTGAGATATTTCCGTTTTCCATCAAACCAATTTGCAGAATAAACTATACCAAAACCACCTTCTCCAATTGGTTTAATATTTGATAATCTTTCGAAAGGTATCCACTCAATTATTTTGTCATAATATTTTTCTGACTTTTGTGCATTTTTAATAAATTCATCTATTTTTTTATTGTTACTACTCCACTCTTGATTTAAATCACATTCATGACAAAACGCAAATCCAGTATTATGATGTCCATTTGCACAAATTCCG